TATAATCCCAGCACTTGGGAGGCCGGTGGGTGGATCACCTGAAGTTAGGAGTTCGAGACTGCCTTGGTCAACATGGAGAAACATCGTCTAAAATTACAAAATATAAAATACAAAAATACTAAAAATACAAAAGCTATCTGGGCATGGTGGCAGACACCGGTAATCCCAGCTACTTGGGAGGCTGAGGCAGGAGAATCACTGGAACCCAGCAGGTGGAGGTTGCAGTGAGCCAAGATTGCACTATTGCACTCCAGCCTGGGTGACAAGAGCAAAACTCCATCTCAAAAGAAAAAAAAGCCAGTTAAATAAACTATGGTAAGAGGCAAATGAGTACTGTTTGGATATTGTCTATGCCTTGAATTCCTTTGTCTCCTTTTTTCACATAGCTAGCTCTCTTTCACTTACCATAACTTGGAGTTTTTCATTAGTTCACTTGTATTTTTGGTTCCCTCTCTTTAGAATGTGAGATCTGGCCAGGATTGATGGCCCACACCTATAATCCCGCCTTTGGGAGGCCAAGGCGGAAAGAATTGTTTGAGGCCAGGAGTTCAAGACTAGCCTGGGCAACATGGCAAGACCCCGTCTCTACACAAAAATAAAAATAGAATGTAAGCTGTGAAGGGGGCAGGGTCTGATTGTATTTTTCACTATCATATTCCCAGCACTAATGTTGTATTTGATACTCAATTTAAAATGACTGTGACTGTATCTTAAATACAAGTCATCCTTATTGGTGAAGCATTTTCATTAAATTCAGCAGCAAGAATATCAGTTATCACCATTATTTAGCATCAGTTGGGAAGCATAGCCAAAGCAATTGGACAAGAAAATGAAGTAAGAAATGTAAATATTAGAAAGAAGAGTTGCCAGGCTCAGCGGCACATGCTTGTAGTCCCAGTTACTCGGGAGGCTGAGGCAGGAGGATCGCTTGAGCTCAGGAGTTCTGAGCTGTAGTGTGCTATGCTGGTCGGGTGTCCACACTAAGAGTGGCATCAATATAGTGATCTCGCGGGAGTGGGGGAACATCAAGTTGCCTAACTAAGGAGGGGTGAACCAGCCCAGGTCAGAAACCAAGCAGGTCAAAAGTCCTGTGCTGATCAGTAGTGGGATCACACCTGTGAATAGTCACTGCACTCCAGCCTGGGCAACATAGTCAGATCCTGTCTCTTAAAAAGAGTTGAAAATAATTATTAAAGTTTTTATGTCTATACACTTGGGGGCAAAATACAGAGAAACAGAAAATTTAATGAGAGAACTGTTCTAGGCTAACCTTACTTTGCTGTTGCCTTGGCCAAAGTGATTGCTATGTAGGAATTTTTAGGTGAACCTTTAGCTAAATAAAATTTCAGACTTTTAAAAAGTGACAAATATGTATACCCTTTACCCAGATTTACCTATTTATGTCTTGCCTCATTTAGCCATGTTAATAACTATGTCTCTCTGTATACATGTCATTCTTTTTATTTTAAAACATTTACAAGTGAATTGAAGCCATCACACCCCTCAACACCCAGATACTTATTAGTGTATATTTCTTAAGAGCATCAATATTCTTTTCTATCTCCTGCTATCAAATCAGAACATTTAATATGAATGTAAGGCTACTATCTTAATCTATAGTCCATGTTCAGAATTTGTCAGTATGTATTTAGTTGTCAAGTCTCTCTCGTCATCTGTAAGAGTGTGGAAACAGTCCTCACTCTTGGTGTTTCTTCACCTTTAGGTTGTTGAACGGCATCAATCAGTTTTTTAAAATGACCCTCAATTTTGATTTATCTGATATTTCCTCAATGGTAAGATTGAGATGGTGAATTTTTGGTGAGAAAACCACAGAAATGATATTGTGTCCTCCATATCAGGAGACCACAATGTTGGTTTAACTCCATATTTTGACGATACAGTTGACCATTTGGTTATGATGGTGTCTGCCAGATTTCTCCTGTAGTATTATTAACTTTTCTTTCTGAATTAACAGGTAATCTGCAGAGAGATACTTTGAGATTACTTAAGTATCAGATTTCTCATGAAATTTTCACTCCATAAATTAAGCATCCATTGATGGTTTTCTAATTCATCATTCTCTTATGTTTATTGTTTGTATTCTATGAGAAAGAGATTTCCAGCCAGGCAAGGTGGCTCATGCCTGTAATCCCAGCACTTTGAGAGGCCGAGGCAGGCAGATCATGAGATCAGGATATGGAGACCATCCTGGCCATGGTGAAACCACTTCTTTACTAAAATACAAAAAGAAATTAGCCAGGTGTGGTGGCAAGTGCCTGTAGTCCCAGTTACTCAAGAGACTGAGGCTGGGGAATCACTTGAATCTGGGAGACAGAGGTTGCAGTGAGCTGAGATCGTGCCACTGCATTCCAGCCTGGCGAATGAGCAAGACTCCATCTCAAAAAAAAAAAAAAAAAAAAAAAAAAAAAAAAAAAATTTCCTTTTTCCTTCATTTTATTTGGTTGTTTATATTTGAGTGTACTCTTTGATTCTTTTATTCAACTCATTTTATTCAATGAGTTATGATCCATTATTATATGATAGGATTTTTAACCTAATTTTGGCTTCTTGCAGCGTGAATTTTGGTCATATAGAACTTCTCTGCCTTTAGTCCTTATCTTCCTGAGTTTTCAGACAAGTCATCTTATATACCTTTGTTACCAATTCGTTACACTCTTTAAAGTTTCCCCACAAAAAAAGCTTTCCCAGACGAAAGTCTGCTTGATCGATTACTTTATTGGCTTGATCTATATCAACCACTTGTTTCCCTCTGTTATTGTTTATGTAATATTATAGGTAACAATCTTGTGTTTGCGTGTTTCTCCATGTGTGTTGTATTAATGCACATATTACAGATTAAGGGGACTTTGTTTCATGATTCTAAAATAGATCATTAGATTTAGAGATTAAAAGTTTCTCTGTCTACCAACAGCAAATTTTTAAACAAAGTTAGGTGCCTCAGGTATCCAAAATTTTGAATTTGATAATCTTCAGGTTTAACAACAAAAAACCTTACCTTAGCAAAAGAGGAGAGGTAAAAAGTGATCAGTTACCTTTTCTTCCTTCCCCAGATTTAGATACTATTGTAGTTGCAGGAAAGAACAATGCATCAGAAGTAAGATCTCTATCAAAGTCTGAGGATATTGTGTCTAAGAGTTCAGCTATTCAACAAATATGTAGTAAGGGTCTGTTATGTGCCGGGACCTGGGTTAGGAAGTGACCATATAGCAGGAACCAAACAGACAGAGTCCTTGCCTTCAAAAAAACTAGCATTCTAGTAGGACAACAGCAAACCAACATGGTAATATATCAGCTGGTGCTAAATGCTATGGAGAAAAAAATAAAGCAAGATAAGGGAAATATGTCAACTGATCACAGGGAATAAAAGAAAAAAATAGATAAGGGAAGTAGTTATTGATGTACTTTCTGATATAGAGTGATTAAGAAAGAACAGTGAGATGGTAAATATTTGAAGAGACCTGGGGGCGGGAGGATAAGAGGGTTGAAAGAGTGTACAGGCAGAAAGGGCTGCAAATACAAGAGCTGTGAAGTGGGAGAGTGCTTAGTGGACCTGAGGACTGAGCCTTTGGGACATATTGCTGTGTTTAGGTATCAAAGGGATGAAGAATCAGCAAAGCAGAAGTTCCTGGCAAGGTAGGAGAATAGAGAGGTACTTGTTTGCCAGGTGAAGAAGCTGTTTCCAGGAGGTGGTGGTAACTAAGTCAAATTTTGCTGATGGGTAGAGAGAAAACACACTGAGTGCAGATAACTCTTTGGATGTTTTTGCTTTAAAGGGGAGCAGAAAAATGGGATGGGATCTGAAGATTAGTGTGGGACCAAGGGAGGTGTTTTTGAAGATGCGGGATATTCGTGTATGATAGGCTGATGGGAATTTTCCAGTAGATGAGAAACAACTGTTGATGCAGAAGAGACAGTAGCAGGGGCAGTATCTTAAACACACGAGCAGGGTTATAACAGAATGTACAAAGAGAGAGACTGATTGAGCTCTAAGACCAATCATCATCTACGTGTCTAGAGGGAAGGCACAGTGTCAGAGTTAGGCACAATCGGACAGAGAAGCCAGTAATGCAAGAAGGCCAGCAGAACATCAGCCCCCTTTTTTCCTTATCTTGCCTTGATTTTTCTCCTTTCTTCTCACATCTGTAAATTTCCATTTCTTTGACCTTCACTTAAAAAAAATTATTTTTTTCTGAGGTTTGGTGGGAAGGGAGTGTGCCAGTGTGTCTTGTTCCTGGAAGAAACAAATTGTGAAAAAGTTTGAGAAGCTTTGATGTTAGAGGGAAAAACATATCCAGAGAGATTTTAATATCATAGTTGAAAATATCTGAATATGTAGTATGCACTAAATGGTAACCATATTTGAATGTTTAGAAGAATTCTCTAGCCTTTTAATTATTTAGGTCTCCTTATTATAAAGTAAATTAAAAGGTAGAAGGATTTATCTGGGTAAATAAGTATAGATTTGTGGAGATGTTTTATATTTATCATTTTCCTGATTATAAAAGGAATGTTGGTTGTAAACAGTTACAGATATGTATAAAGTTAAATAATAAACTCTTTCCCACTGTTCCCAACCTTCCAGAGAACCACAATAAATAGTTTGTAATAATACTTTCCGTATTTATCAGTGTTTGCTTCCAACTTAGCTGTTTTTCAACAGAAAACTAAGTAAAAACTGCCCACTGGCAACATTAATTTCCAAATTAACTCATCAGTATTTTAAATTCAGGGGCCTTATAAGTGCATGTTAATTTAAACTGCACAGATTAGAACAGCCTGTCTCAGGACAGGATATAAAACTGACCTTTGTTTCTGAATTAAATGTTTCTTTGATACTGAAATAATGAAATGCCAGTCTTAGCTTTTGACTTGGGGGTTTTCATGGTCACTGAACAATAAGCACAATGCAGTTTTAAAGACGTTTGCTCATTTGATGAAATGCAGAGTTCTACTAAGCACAATATTTGGTACTTTCATAGGAGAATGAAGTACTAAGAGCAAAGCATGAAGGTGTGGATCATAGTTCCCAGCATGAGGAAAATGAAGAAAGGGCGTTAGCCCAGAAAGAGAACTCATTTCAGCAGAATAATGAAGATGAAAACAAAACAGCAGAGAAACCCGATTGGGAGGCAGAAAAGAGCACTGAACCTAGAAATGAGGTAATCTGTCAGAATATTCAAACCTTGCCATTTTGGTTTTAATGTAGATTTTGTGGCATTGACATTTTGTGTCAAGAATGATGTAAGTATGCCATACTATTAGCAAATCTCATATATGAAAATACCTATGTCTTTAAGTTATGGAAGTAATAATTTGATTCATAAACAAATTATCCCATACAATTGTTTTCTGTGGTTAGACTCAAGATTTTGTGTGCATGGCCGGGCATGGTGGCTCACGCCTGTAATCTCAGCATTTAGGGAGGCTGAGGCGCGCAGATCACCTGAAGTCGGGAGTTCAAGATCAGCCTGGCCAACATGGAGAAACCCTGTCTATTCTAAAAATGCACAAAATTAGCCGAGTGTGGTGCTGCATGCCCATAATCCCAGCTACTTGGGAGGCTGAGGCAGGTGAATCACTTGAACCCAGGAGGCAGAGGTTGTGGTAAGCCGAGATCACGTCATTGCACTCTGGCCTGGGCAAAAGTGAAACTCCACTTAAAAATATTTTGTGTGCGGCCAGGCACGGTGGCTCAAGCCTGTAATCCCAGCACTTTGGGAGGCCGAGGCGGGTGGATCACGAGGTCAACAGATCGAGACCATCCTGGTCAACATGGTGAAACCCTGTCTCTACTAAAAATACTAAAAATTAGCTGGGCATGGTGGCGTGTGCCTGTAATCCCAGCTATTCAGGAGGCTGAGGCAGGAGAATTGCCTGAACCCAGGAGGCGGAGGTTGCAGTGAGCCGAGATCGCACCATTGCACTCCAGCCTGGGCAACAAGACGAAACTCCCGTCTCCAAAAAAAAAAAAAAAAAAAAAAAAAATTTGTGTGCATATGCACACACCCTCCTCCAGGACCTTGCTAGCAGGTTTTACTAATTATGTTTGCCAAGGCAAGAGATGAAGAAATGGTGAACCTAGGAGTCCTCAACCAGCCACATGAACAGGCAGCCAGGCTGGGTTAGTCCAGGAGAGCAAGCCAAGGGCCAACCCTACAGCCAGGCATCCATGACATCACCTAAGGCTTAGGCTGAAATCTTTGTTGTCTCCTGGCAGCCTGGCTGAACCATTGGGATCCATGGTCCAGTCAGACTACCTCATTGTCTAACTTTACTTTTTTTGAGACACAGTTTTGCTCTTTTTGCCCAGACTGGAGTGCAGAGGTGCGATCTTGGCTCACCACAACCTCTGCCTCCTGAGTTAGCAGATTATACGCATGTGCTACCACACCCAGCTAATATTTTTAGTAGAGATGAGGTTTCTCCATGTTGGTCATGCTGGTCTTCAACTCCAAACCTCAGGTGTTCCACCCACTTTGGCCTCCCAAAGTGCTGGGATTACCGGCGTGAGCCACCATGCCCAGCTAACCTTACTCTTCAGCTGTAAGAAGTGTAGAAAGATGAACTCCAGGAGCCAGGCTGAAGGGATTGATTTTTCCTGCAATCTATGCTTCCCTCTCCTTTCATTTGGGCTGTTCTCTGTTTTTCAGCCCTGCTGAGGTCCTGCCCACAAGCAAGGCAAACAGATGCTCCAGAAATATCTAATAACCACATGGCACTTCTACCTGGAAGGCACACCCTTGCAGGTCTTGCCCTGATGGTTGTCACCCATCACCTGTTTTAGGGTTCTCTTTGCCCATCTTACCACTTCCTTGCCCCTCTAGTTTCCACCTAGAACCCCTTGGTGAAATCTAGGACAGGTCCCATAAATTCTAGATACTCATAAAAATCCATTTGGCTATCCCGGTGCAGCAATTGGTAAGAATAACCCAATTACCAATGTGGACATGTGCAGCTGCTTATGCCTATAATCACAGCACTTTGGGAGGGCAAAGCAGGCAGATGACTTGAGCCCAGGAGTTGGAGACAAGGCTGGACAACACGGTAAAAGCCAGCTTCACGAAAATTATAAAAATTAGCTGGGTGTGGTAATTTGTTCCTATAGTCTTAGCCACCCTGGAGGCTGAGATGGGAGGATCACCTAAGCCTGGGAGGTCAAGGCTGCAGTGAGCTGTCTCAAAAAAAAAAGTATGACCCAGTGTAGTTCTCCAGAACAGTGAACCAAAAATTAGCTAGGCATAGTGGTGTGTGCCTATGGTCCCAGCTACTTGCAGGCTGAGGTGGTATCACTTGAGCCAGGAAGTTGAGGCTGCAGTGAGCTGTCGTCATGCACTGCACTTCAGACTGGATGACAGAGCAAGACCCTGTCTCCAAAAAAAAAAAAAAAAAGGCACTGAGCTAAATTTCAGCTTCTTCCTTCAGTTTTTGTTTTTTGTTTTTTGTTTTTTTTTTGAGACGGAGTTTCGCTCTTGTTACCTAGGCTGGAGTGCAATGGTGCGATCTCGGCTCACCGCAACCTCTGCCTCCTGGGTTCAGGCAATTCTCCTGCCTCAGCCTCCCGAGTAGCTGGGATTACAGGCACGCGCCACCATGTCCAGCTAATTTTTAGTATTTTTAGTAGAGACAGGGTTTCACCATGTTGACCAGGATGGTCTCGATCTCTTGACCTCGTGATCCAGCTGCCTCAGCCTCCCAAAGTGCTGCGATTACAGGCTTGAGCCACCGCGCCCGGCCCTTCCTTCCGTTTTACGTGGCCTCCTGCCCTGATTTCTCTGGGGTTGACAGTATGTAGGAAATTGTTTCTCTTGACCATGTGATACATTTAGGTATTTTTTTACAACTCCTTGTCACATGGGCACTTTCTCACTGTACAGGTTTGTTGGGAGACTCCTGGCCCCACACCTGGGAGTATTTCCCTTCACAGGGGCAAATGTATCTCCACTGCAGCTGGTCCTTTAGGACTCTGATTGTTCAGTGGTACACATACATCTCACCTCTCCAGGTGGCTCTCTGAACCACTTGCTGGCCATCTCACACCTGAAAACATGCCCTTAGAATCTTTTTCAGTTCCCTAACTACAGCTCTTGAATGGTTTCACCTTTTTAAAACGACATTGCCATGAGTCAGCATATGTAAAAGTCAGGAGTCCTAGTCCTCTGAAAAAGACTAAAATCAGTGTTTAAATTGTTCACAAAGGAACAGTCTATAAAGCAAGAACAGACTATCATGAAAAAAGGAAAAGTAGATCTAGAAAAGAACACAAATGAAATTCTAGATATGAAAAAATGTACTCATTTTCATTGAAAATTCTGTGGAAGTGGTATGAACAGCTAAAGAAAAGGGCAAGTTACAAGACCTAAGAAAATTATCTAGTATATACCACAGAGAAGATGCACATTATGAAAGCAAAAATCTAAGTTACTTCTAATAGGAGTCCCAGAAGAAGCAACTATAAAATATGAAAGAGAAGCAATAGTTTATGGCAAAATATTTCCAGAAAAGTCCTCAAAGGACTACACAGAGCTCCTAACAATGTAAATGAAAACAAATTAAGTCCCAGACATGTCACATTGAAACATGAAGAACTAAGAAAAAAAAACTTTTAGATTACCTGAGATAGAAAAGGTTCATTATAAATTAGCACTGAGAACAAACTTACCAGCAGTAATAAATGCCTTACACAGAGTACTGACAGAAAACATTAAACCTGATACTTTTACCATCATTTTAGCATGAAGGCAAAATAATTCCATGCAGGCCAGGCATGGTGGCTCACGCCTGTAATCCCAATACTTTGAGGCCAAGGCAAGTGGATACCTGTGGTCAGTTCTGAGACAAGCCTGGCCAACATGGCAAAACCCCATCTCTACTCAAAGTATAAAAATTAGCTGGGCATAGTGGCACATGCCTATAGTCCCAGCTATTCAGGAGGCTAAGACACAAAAATCACTTGAACCTGGGAGGCAAAGACTGCAGTGAACTAAGATCCCAGCACTGCACTCCAGCCTGGAAAACAGGGTGAGACTGTCTCAAAATAGTAATTCCATGTGACAAAAACTGAGTCTTTCAGAATTTTGAGGAGTTACTTCAACTAGAAAGAAGCTATACCATGAAGACCAGGAGTGACAGATGATGCATAGATGAGTAATGGTTAAAGAAAAAGTAGGCCGGGCGTGGTGTCTCACACCTGTAATCCCAGCACTTTGGGAGGCCGAGGCAGGTGGATCAGGAGGTCAAGAGATCGAGACCATCCTGGTCAACATGGTGAAACCCCATCTCTACTAAAAAATACAAAAAATTAGCTGAGCATGGTGGCGCAAGCCTGTAATCCCAGCTACTCAGGAGGCTGAGGCAGGAGAATTGCCTGAACCGAGGAGGCGGAGGTTGCGCCACTGCACTCCAGCCTGGGTAACAAGAGAGGAACTGTCTCAAAAAAAAAGTTAAGTAGAGACCGTAAAAATTACTTTGAAACAAAACCTCATTCTGTTAGCCTGGAGCTGTCACTACTCACCGTACCCTCAACCTCCTGAACTCTGGCAATCCTCCTGCCTCAGTTTCCCCGAGTAGCTGGGTCCACAGGTGCACACTGCCACAGCCAGCTAATTTGTATTTGTAGAGATGGTCTTATTATGTTGCCCAGGCTGGTCAACTCCTGGGCTCCTGCTTTGGCCTTCCAAAGTGCTGATTACAAGCATGAGCCATCAAGCTGCCAAAATTACGTAATTGTGTAATACGGAGGGGCAAAATAAATTGAAACTAAAAATACTAGCCAAAAATTATATGTAAGATGTTTAGGGCAGGAACAGAGATACTAATTAGCTTTGGGGTTTAAGTATACATGTTGAAATATTGAGCACTGTAAGAGAAATAGGCTGGCTGCGGTTTACGTCTGTAACCCAGCACGCACTTTGGGAGGCTGAAGTGGATGGATCAGTGGAGGTCAGAAGTTTGAGACCAACCTGGCCAATATGGTGAGACCCTGCCTCTACTAAATACAAAAATTAGATGTGATGCATGCCTGTAATCCCTGCTACTCAGGAGGCTGAAGCAGGAGACTCCTTTTGAACCTGGGAGGTAGAGGTTATAGTGAGCAGATTGCCACTGCACTCCATTCTGGGCAACAGAGACCCCATCGCAAAAAATAAAATGTAAAACTTCCCAAGGAATACGGCTAAGAACCCAGTGTGGAGATAAGACCTGGTAATCCTTTAAAGATAAAGCCTAAAGCCCCAATCAGTTCAGTTTTTTATCCATCTTTGTTTCTCTGCAGATACATCTGAATGGCACAGATATTTCTCCCTCTCTGGAAGACTTACTCCAGTTGCTTTCATCACAGCCTGAAAATTCACTGGAGGTAATTGGAACCTTGGTTTTTATCCTCATAGGAACTTAACTTTTTAACCTGAATAACAAAGGAATGCTTATTTTTATGGAAGCACTTCAACCTAGAATTAACCAAGTAACCGAACACATACAGCATTCCTCTTCCTGAATAATCCCAAAGGTATCATCAAATATAGACCAGTCATGGTACAGTATGGAGGTTTATCAAAAAACCAAGTCAATTATGATGTGATCCCACTGTCAGGCATTTATCTACAGGAAACGAAATTCACATAAAGGGGCACCTGCACCCCCATTTATTGCAGCAATACTGCCAATAGCCTTACAGTGCTTTGTCTTTGAAACCTCTGCCTTTCAGACTACTTCACTGTAGCTTATTATCCCTAACCCTCCACACTGTGATTACCAATGGCTGGGATTCAAGTTGCATCTTACTATAAGGTAGTAAATTACAAGACCATAATATTAGATTCAATAACAAAATTCAGTCAGCTTTTATACTAATCAATCTTAATTTCTACATTATGCAGAATTATTTACTTCAAGTCTAAGTATTCTGATTAGGGCTCACATAACTGTATTGACTGTATTTTAACTCGGGAGTTAGTGTCAACAGCATATCCCTATTAAATACAGAGGAAATGACAAAAGTTGTTAGGTTATAGGACTGCTTCAGAAATAGAGCTATTTATGTTTAAAGTGTTTTTCCTTTGTTTTTCAGGGCATCTCACTGGGAGATACTCCTCTTCCGGGCAGTATCAGTGATGGCATGAATTCTTCAGCACATCATCATGTAACCTTCAGCCAGGCTATAAGCCAGGATGTGAATCTTCATGAGGCCATCTTGCTTTGTCCCAACAATACATTTATAAGAGATCCAGTAGCAAAGACTTCACAGCCACAAGAACCATTTCTGCATTCTCATACTACTAATCCTGAGCAGACCCTTCCTGGAACTAATTTGACAGGATTTCTCCCACCTGTTGACAATCCTATGAGGAATCTGACAAGCCAAGACCTTGACTTAAATATATTTGAGGAGATAGACCTAATGTCATTACTGGCCACAGAAAACGACCTGGATCAAATCGATATTTCTCAGCTTTTTGATGAACCGGATTCTGAATCTGGCCTTTCTTTGGATTCAAGTCACAACAGTACCTCTGTCACCAAATGTAATTCCTCTCCCTCTATGTGTGATGAAGGTGCTACAGGTTATAGTACTGACTATGACTTAGGTGCTGTAGGAGGCTACTACCAAGAACCCAATAAGCTTTGTCACGTGGATGACGACTCTGGTTTCCATGGGGATCTTACATTTCAACACGTATTTCATAACCACACTTACCACTTAAAGCCAAGTGCACCAGAATCTACTTCTGAACCTTTTTCATGGCCTGGGAAGTCACAGAAAATAAAGAGTGGGTACCTTGAAGATGCAGATAGAAACTTGAGCCGTGACGAACGGCATGCTAAAGCTTTGCATATCCCCTTTTCTGTAGATGAAATTGTCCGCATGCCTGTTGATTCTTTCAATAGCATATTAAGTAGGTACTATTTGACAGACCTACAAGTGTCACTCCTCCGCGACATCAGACGAAGAGGGAAAAATAAAGTTGCTGCTCAGAACTGTCGTAAACGCAAATTAGACATCATTTTGAATCTAGAATACGACGTATGTAACTTGCAAGCAAAGAAGGAAACGCTGAAGAGGGAGCGAGCACAATGTAACAAAGCTATTAACATAATGAAACAGAAACTGCAGGACCTTTATCGTGATGTTTTTAGTAGATTAAGAGATGACCAAGGTAGGCCAGTTAATCCAAACCTCTATGCTCTTCAGTGTAGCCATGATGGAAGTATCTTGGTAATACCCAAAGAACTGGTGGCCTCAGGCCACAAAAAGGAAACCCAAAAGGGAAAGAGAAAAGAGAGAAAAAACTGAAGATGGACTCTATGTCAACTACTCATGTTCAGAAACTGATTATTTGAATCAGAAACCGCTGAAACTTCGTATTATAGTACTGCTACTTGAATAACTCAGGCTGTTTTGAAGCTTACATGGACAAATGTTTAGGACTTCAAGATCACACCTGTGGGAAATCTGGGGGAACCACAACTTTTCACAAAATTGTCGTGAATACATTGTATACAAGATTCATCAACTTATGTTAATAAGATTTTCCACTTTGGCAGCCATCCTTTTTAGTAAGTCAATCACTTCAAAAAGAGCTAACACTGGGGGTGAAATTTTAAGAGTTGTTTCAGTTTTTAAAATGCAGAATAGCCTTACTACTTTGCTAGCACTATAGTGAGCTTTTCAAACACTTTTAATCTATTTAACTTATAAATTTTGCTTTGTGGAAATAAATGTATTTGTATTAAAAAATAACTTCCTATTTATACTGAAATCTAAAGCAGCAAATTTGCCTTTCATTCCCAAAATACCCACATTAAGGAATATGTGACAAACAGGCGTTGTAGTGATTTCCAAAACAAATTAAGTCAGACTCAAGCCAAACTGAAGTCACGTAGTATGCCCAAATAAGGCAGATCCACCCCCAAATACTTGACACACAGAGTACTATGTTGGAGTGCACTGAATACCAATAGTTGCTGGTAGTTTAAGCCACAGGCCTTCCTCCTGTAACCAGAGAATGGGCTACCTGCATAAACAGAACTCCTTAAGTGTATATTAAATGCATAAAATCTGACAGTAGTAAAGCTAGCCTGAAGGGATGGCCTCGTATCTTTGAATATTGAGATCTCACCAGACCATTAGAAGCCATATAAACAAAACAATAGTCAAGACAGTCAAACCATCTAAAAAACTGTTTAAAACAGGTAAAAGCTATTGGGGGGGGAAGACAGGTGAATTCGAAAAAATTCTAGAAATACTATCATCTGAAATGAAAACCTCACTTAAGTTCATTGGAACAGTGAACAGGAGATTGTGAATTTTGTGAAAACAATGACCTCAAGTTTGGGGAACATCAAAATTTTAATGTGTACTATTAGTCTAATGCTTACTGTCCAAATTTTAAAATGAAGGTTCTCAAGATATTTCTGCCACAGGAATTCTTGACAGTGTAGACTATTGTGTAAGTATCCTGGGCTAGGATGCAGTTTATACGGTCGGATTTTTATGATAAAATTTTGTTCCAAAGCCGCCATTTTGCCAGAAATGCTTCTAGATAAAAGTTTTTCCCCTTCAATGACTCAGGGTGTTCAATGATCATGTTTAGCATGCTGACAGGTTGGCTTTTTGCAAGGGAGTACTTTAGATGTCTTAAGCTTGATGTTTACAACTTAAGGACACACACAAAACATTTCAGTCCATAGCAGGAAGTTTTACAGTGCCAATTGTTTCAAACCTAAGTGCAGTCACATGAGCCCCTGCTTAACAGAGAGCATTCTTTAAGCCTCTATAAGGAACATACAGTACAGAAAATCTGTTTTCAGTCACTGGTTACTGAGGCTGAAATGCAGTGGTCTCAATCACAGATCTAGCCTTGAACTCCACCTGCCTGCCTCAGCTCCTAGCAGCTCAGATTATGAACCAAGCCAAGCCTTAAGTTTAAACCGTTAAGAAAACAAATACAGCACACACAGATTCAAGTAACTGCAAACAATATAAAGATGGTAGTGTCTGTACTGAACTTTGTCACTATATATAATATAGCATACTATTTACCCAGCTTTCTACTTTCTACCTGTATTGAGTAATACTATACACACACGTTATGAGATATGGTTAGATCATGTGGAAATACACGTTTCATACAAGGGGCTAGAGCATCCGTATTTTGGTATGGTGGTGGTTCTGGACGGATCCCCCCCCCCCCCCCCCCCCGAAAAAGGGACTTTAACTGATGCATTAGCAAGTCAGCTTCATAAGATCTAAATGACTACCGGCTGATTTCGCAATACAACCCCACCTTCACCTTAACATGCAGGATTCAAGGCATAAAAACTGGATGTGCTTGCTTTTCTATCATTGATAGTCCGGTTTTAAACATGAAATTCCACATTAAGTTTCTAGCGCAAACCAACTAGATGACAAAGCCAATGCCCAAAAGCTGACAAACTGCTGGCTAGGACTCTCCACATTACCTACCTAGTTGAGTAGTCTTGATTTTATGAGTAAGATAAAGACCCAAGTGGGACACTCTTTTCCAATTAAAATTCTCACTCGAGCATCTTCACAAGCATTATCAGATTTTAGGCCAATCGTATGAAACTCCAAGCAAACAAGGCCATCTAGATTTCTTGAGGTCCCCTGGTCTCAAAGCAGGCTTAGGTTCAGCAGAGCTTCAGAACACAAAACATCAGCAGCATACAAGTTTGTGATAACAATCTTCCATAAATGCACTCAAGTAGCTAGATCATTCTTTCCCCATCTAAATCTCTGAACCATTAAATTTGTTCTCTGGTAAATCCACACACGTCACTGGTTATCCCTCAAAGCCCCCCCAACACCCCCAAAAAACAATGTTAGTTTCATTACTAAAATAATGGAAATGTCAAAATTGTGTAGTCAACCATCCCAGTACATTAGTTCCAAATCTTAAGCAAATCTAAGCAACATGCACACTCCAGGTGTCCTGAAATAGATGCTTTCTACCTTTTGCACTTTTCGACCAACTTGTTGCCTTACTTTGTTAGCTCCCAATACCTAACGAGTATTAAGTCAAACTGATTTAAACCAATTTCTACCAAATTAGACTACATGGAAAACCTTACACAGTACATACAGTAGTCGTATCGTTTCACAGTAGTGCATAAAAACTTAGTAAGGGCACCTCGAGTGTGGTAGCCAGCATCTAACACAGTTCCTGATGATCCCTACCTGCTTGGTAATTATACCAGTGAATAGAACCCTCCCACCACATTCTGTAACCATAAAGGATGCAAGATGGCATGACTATATTTTAGTGTTCATTTTACAGCTTTTCTTGCTTGAGTCACTCAACAAGGGAAGCTGACAGCATTAAATTTTCACCCGTTAGTATGCCACTCTGGATAAAAAAATTCTACCAATTCGAGTTTTCGGTGATTGCAACCTTGAGGTTTACCGTGATTCAGTTAACTTGCTCCCAAACTGCTGACCCATAGATGAAGTCTGTTTCTCTAAACTGCTGTTAAAGTATTAAGTTGTTACACAGCCACAATATAAATCCCTAGGCAAAAGGCAACGTTTCTTCATTTAGGGCACTGTATCAAGGCTGTGTAAGAACTACCTTAAACTTCAAGAAACGGCTCAACACACAATACACACAAAAAATAAGCCTATGTTGAACATTCAACATTACCCTATGTTTCATTAAACCCTCCTTAAATCAATTCATTTCAGCCTATTGTCCATTACCTAATTCTCCCCTATTTGTCTGATATTCCCTTGACCCTGCTGGATCAGAGTTGCTATTTTGAGGTTGTGCATTATTAACTTGACGTATTTTCAACGTTCAACGTCTTTGTACATCACACCTTTTTAAACCTTCAAAATTAACTTTCTTGGAGTTGATCTACTTGTACAAGTCTAACTGATTAATTCCACTACTTCAAATACAAAGCTGCTTTATACTTGTTAGCTGCTGTTAGTTTGACTTACCTGTTAAGATACCTCAAATTATCAAACCCAAAAGAAATTACCATGGAATCAATTAACTTGGCCCTTATTTTAGTTTTCTTAATTCACATAAATGTCCAAATAAACAGCGTTATTTAAAAAGCCTTAAAAAAAAAAAAAAAAACCCAGATACTCATATACAATAAAACTAATTGACATTTCACAATCTAGTACATATTTTAAGCCTCAGTGCCTTGCAAAGGCAGTTAATCTGGAACACTTAGGCAGGTTAATTCAAAATCCATGACTTTCAAACGCGAAGTACTGTTAAACGTACAAGGTAAAGCCAGGAACTTTGGGAGTACTCAAACGCTGAATATACAGTACATTAACGAACAGCATTTTATTGGGGACAGCCAATAATGTCCACAGTGCTCTTCTCATTTATCTGAAAATATTAAAAGAAAATATGCATAGCTTTGTGAAACTGCTTTAAAAATTTAGGGGATGGTGATCTTTTAGACAACCAAATGTTTATAGAACAAGATTCACACATTTTATGTGTAAACATTACACGAAATATTTGGATACAAAAGTATTTATTTTATAAACTTTAAAATAGAATTTTAATCTCTCTACTCACAAAACCTAATTTAAAAACATGATACATTTCTCTCTCTAGCCAAGTTGATGTTACTGTTTTACAAACAACACTCATTTTGTTACTGTTTTATATCAAGAACCTGAGCTAAATGTTTATCAGAAAACATTTCCCTTTTATTTTAAAGAGTGCTTTTTAAATGAAGGCACCAACAAGAACTACTTTCAGATGGTACAGAATTTCTTATTTCTTGAAGACTCTGTGGTTGACCACTTCTTCATTAGTTACCTGCAGCAAGACACCTTCCTGCCAAAGGAAAAAAAAATTATCTGAAGAAGTTTATATCATGTTTGTCCAAAAGAACCTAACAACTTCAGTGGTGGTCTTAGGATCAAAGAAGACTCACTGGTGCATATAGTAGAGTAAGCCCTGAATATCACATTCCTGTAAAGGCAATAAAGCCAGGCAATCAAATTGATAACTAAGCAATGAATCTTAACAGCCAACCTAAAACTTTCTCTTTAGGGTAAGACACTGAACTACAATGACCACATTTAACCCACCTATTTAGTACTGGATACATACAGGCTTCATAATGTAGACAGACACTTCACTCAAGTATGAACTATTATCTGAAAACAGATTCAACCATTTTGACGCTACCTTCTTTCAGTCTCATCCTGATAAGCAGTACAGCTAGAACCATAAATAGAACAAATGTCTTTAATAAAAACCCCTAGTTCATTCCAAATGTTTGATCCAAGAAATGTGAATACACAAAGGTGTAACGATGGGAAATCTCATATTTATTCAACTTGCAGCCTAACTTTTACCTACCATTTTACTACCAACACCACTGAAGGAACCAAGAAAAGCTTTATTAATGATCACTTGGCTTGCCTCAGCTGTTGAAATGAAGCACTTTACAGTCTTTGTGGCAGCAGAATATACTTGTCCATGGCTCATATCAATGCTAAAATTCCAGCAGGGAAAAAAATGATATGTTAAGCACCTGAATCTTCACATGGAGGGGGAGGGGGGGAAAGGAGGAAAAAAAGGGAAAAACAACCAAAATAATTTAAGTAAATGACAGATTGGAAAACAGGGTTTATAAAAATTCTCTTGAGTTTATAAATTGTTAAACTCAATTTATAGCTATGTTAAACTACTTAAGAACCACTATACTGAAAGACCATTGAAGAATATTAGTTTATCTTTT